CTGTTGTGACTTGACTAGACTCATGAATATCAGCTGTGACTTGACTAGACTCATGATAATAAACTGTGACTTGATGGGACTCAGAAAGAGCAGTTGTGACTTGACAAGACTCATGATAATGAACTGTAACTTGACTTAACTCATGAAGATCCACTGTGACCTGACTTGACCTTTGAAGATCGGCCGTGACTTGACTTGACTCATGACGATCAACTGTGACTTGACGGGGCGCTGTTGTGTCCGCCATTTTGTGAGCGTGCTCTGCTGTCGCCGCCATTTTGTGAGCGTGCTCTAGTACGGCCGCCATTACATGAGTGAGTGCGGGGTCGCGTTCCTCTGCGATACCCACAGTAAACGCTGAACCAACAGACAACAGAGCATAATCCATAAAATCACTTAGAGAAGAACGGGGACCCTCACGGATTAATCGTGTCTTTAAAGGTTCATTGATACCCTCACAAAAAAAGTCTATGAGCACACAGTCAGGCAGATCAGAAAAATATGCAAGATCTAAATACTCTTGTACATAATCCTCGAGCGCTCGCAAGCCCTGCTCGAGGGTTAATAACAGTCTTGCAGTGTCCATACCTGGCCAATGTCCACATGAAAAGCTGCTGGATCCTTGTGTGGCCGAGTATTCCACTTGAACAGCTGCTGGACCCTTGTGTGGCCGAGTATTCTGTTACGGGGCTGACAAGACGTGAGATGTGCGGATCCATGTGCAAGCTTTAATTCAAGCAGAGAGGTCAGAAACAGAGGCAGGGTCGAACAAGGGCAAACAGGTATAATGAGGGCAAGACAGAAGAGTAATCCAAAACGGGCGTGGTCGATAAGCGGCTAACAATATCCAGAGGGCTTGACACGAGGGGTTATCCAATAACAATGCAAAGGTCCAGGCAGGGGCAAACAGTATCCGAACAGGGCAAGACGAGAGAGGTAATCCGAAGTACACAGGCAATAATCAGAAGACGAGGAAACAGACAAGGCAAGACTAGGCTAAGGCTAACGAAAGGAAACAGGCTCCGTAGAGTAGCTATCGCTAAGAGAGTGATAAACGCATACAATACTCGGCAGAGGGAAGGGATCAGAGTGAGTGTTAAATAGTGAGTGAGTGATATGAAAGAGCTGTGTGCAATCAGTGCTGTGTGCAATCAGTGAAACAACTGTGCGCAATCAGTGCTGTGTGCAATCAGTGCAATGAATGATGGGATATGTAGTCCGGGGTGATAAGCAACAGTGTGTAGTGCGAGAGTCAATGAAAATGGAAAGGGTGACCTCTGATGGCTAGCAGACGGAAGTTCATGGACCGGATACGTAACACTATGAAACCTCCTCTTATAAAACCATATAATATTTTAGAAGAAAAAAAAACAGCACAAATAAATTAATGTTCACCTTTTATTTGTATTTAGCCTTCATACAAACAAGAAATGTGAAATCACTGTAAAATAAACATCTCAGACTCACCTTATTAATATTAATATCTTCATCTTCAAACTATAGGCTAACATACACTACCAGTCAAAAGTTTTTGAACAGTAAGATTTTTAATGTTTTTTAAAGAATTATCTTCTGCTCACCAAGCCTGCATTTATTTTGATCCAAAAATATTTTTACTATTTAAAATAATTGTTTTCTATTTTAAAATATTTTAAAATGTAATTTATTCCTGTGATTTCACAGCTGAATTTTTAGCATCATTAGTCCAGTCACACGATCCTTCAGAAGTCATTCTAATATTCT